GGGCCCAGCAGGGAGGCCACTGCAGGAAACTAGGCTTGGGCTGCTAGTAATGGAGCGCTGGCAGGAAGGGTTGGATTAGGAGAAGCCTGTCTTGAAAGAATACTTGGACGGACACAGGAGCTGCTTGGCTATGACTGATGAGAGGGGGAGTCCGAGTGTTTTGGAAGTAGAGTGTAATTTTATTTTATTTTATTTTATTTTATTTTATTTTATTTTATTTATTTATTTATTGGTACCGGGGATCGAACTCGGGTCCCTGCACTTGCATAGCAGGCGGCGAAACCATTGAGCTAAATCCATGGCCTAGAGTGTAATTTTTAGATTATGGTTTGCAGTAAACCCTGTACTTGACAGTGATGAAGCCAGAGGGCAGAAGGCAGTTGAAGTTGGGCTGGGAGCAGTCACCACACAGACAGCAACCAAGAGGAGATGTGGCCACTGTTTGGGTCACCGGTGCCTGTCTCTGTGCCCCAGACATGGTACTCCAGCACTGGCAAACTGCAGCTGTGTGGTTTTCTATTCACTGCTTCCTTCCCTTTAGAAATGCTTTTTGGTGCCCGGTGACTCACTGGGCTGAATCCAAACTCTCTGAAATAGTAATAGGTGGAGAGAGGAGAGATGCCAAAGAGGGTAGCTCTGGCGCATGGCTTTGGGCTTTGGAGTTCTGTCTGCTACCTGGTACCTGGTACTCCTGGGCTGCAGGGTCTGGGGCAGATCTGGGTAACCCTAGCTGCCCTAGTCTAGTGCTCAGTGTTGAGGAAGTGCAGGATGTCTGGCGTTTGGATTTGTCCCACAGCACCCTGATTGATTGATTGATTATACTGGGGACGGAACCTAGAGCTTTCACACTGGCCTACATCATCAGCCCTCTTAAAATTTTTTATTTTGAGACAAGGCCTCACTAGGTAACCCAGGCTGGGCTTGAATTTGCAATCTTCCTCTCTCAGCCTGTCAGTGTGTTGGAATGACAGAGCTGCCCCACCACACGTGGCTCAGTCAGCAGCCTTTCTTGCTGCACATGAATGTGGAATATTACTAGAAATAACTAGTAATGCAGTATCAGTTACATTTATTTTTATAGTTACACAGGGTGTTTTATACCAGGTGACTGTCATCTTTGTGGAACCCTTTTGGTATTGTGCCCAAGGTCTTTGAGGTGGGTAGACCAGATGACCAGAGCCCAGTCTGTTCCCTCAGACTGGGAAGGAGGAGTTTTCCTACCCTGAGCTCGAAATCCCCAGCCCACATTCCCAAGCTCAGTGACCTAGGCTCTGATAATGAGGGGTTGGTTTTGAATTTATGTGTTCAGCAGAGTCCTAAATTTAAGGGTCTGACCTTAAATTGTTTTCTGACCTGGGAGCTGTTCAGGGTCTTCACCAGAACTCCTGGAGCCCAGAGCATCACAGCAGCCCTGTCTCTCGGATGGTGCAGGGAGCACCAGGCAGGCCTCCTGGCCTCTAGTACCAGTGCCTACTGCCCGGGACCCTGCTACCCTCCTTGTTGTAGACAAGACTCCTTGTTTCAAGCCACTTACTCAGCTTTTCTCTTGATTTTATCTCTAAATGAGGTGACCTCACTAGTTTGTCTTAAAACACATCTAGCTCCAAGACTTTACAGTTCCATTATTGTGTGGAAAGATTTTATATATCCAAAAAGAAAGAAAGAAAGAAAGAAAGAAAGAAAGAAAGAAAGAAAGAAAGAAAGAAAGCAGATGTCACAGGGAGCTGATTCTACTCAATGAGGCTGAAGAGGGGGAAAAGTGAACTTTTGTTCTAGATTTGATTTTTTTTTTTCCATCCTCAGTAGTTTCTGGCAGGTGAGAGGATTTGACTGAAAAATGGGACTGACCTTCTGAACCCCATTTCCAGCATACAATCTGATTTTTAAAGGCTTCCATACCTGTTTGGAGATCACTGAGTGGAACAGTTTTGAAATTAGAGTGGAGGTTGTTGGAGAGAACAGGTGGCAGGCCCAGCTTCCCAGGGAACTGTGTTCTAAGTCATTGGCCTGACCAGGGAGGCCTCTTCCTGCTGAAGGGTCACACATGGCACCCAGGAGCCCACTGCCAGCCTGGCATGGAGAGGGCATCTGAGGAGTCCTGCACCAATGGCCGGGCTCCCTGGCAGTGGGCCATGGCACCTAACAGGACACTTTCTGGGGGATGAGGGGGCCCAGGATTCAAGATTTGGCCTTCTAGGTGGCAGAAACCTCTGTTCTCATCCCCATGGGCTCAGAAAGCCTCCCTCTCTTCCCTTCCAGCATCTCAGGATCTGCCGAGTGCTCCTCCCCTCTGTCCCAGCTACCGTTCTTGTCCCAACTGGTGTTTCTTCCTTCTAATGTCACAGTGCACCTGTTGCTTGCTCTTTAGGATTTCTGTGGTTTTACCACAGTGACAAAGAAGAAGCAAATCAGGGAAACATTAGAGTTTCAGGATGCCCCCCCTTTCTTTTGCTTCTTAAATTTTTATTTATTTTTCCAGATTAGTGGAGGTTTTAACATGGGAGTGTAGATATGTCTCTTCAAAATACTAATTTCATATCCTTTGGCTGTATACCCAGAAGTGGGATTTCCGGGTTCTTTGGAAGGTCTTTTTACTTGTTGGAGGAACCTCTGTACTGTTTTCCATAATGGCTGTGTTGATTTACATTCTCACCAGCAGTGTAGAGTTCTCCTTTCTCTACATCCTTGCTAACATGTAATTCAGGCTGGCCTTGAACTCACTGTGTAGCCCAGGCTGGCCTCATGGTGCTCTTCCTGACTCAGCCTCCGAGTGCTGGGATTACAGGGGTGCGCCACCATGCCCGCCCAGCTGGTAATAGTTTTTCTAACAGGTATGAAGTGCTGGCTCATTGTGGTTTTAATTTGCATTTCCCTGATGTGGAACTTTTTTTCTGTCACATATCTATTGGCCATATGTATGTTTTCACTTGAGAAATGTCTGTTTAGATCCTTTGCCCACTTTTCAATTGTGTTATTTGTTTTCTTACTATTGAATTAATCAAGTTCCTTATGTATTTTGTATATTACCCCTTAATTAGGTGTTTGGTTTGCACATATATCTTGGTTGTCTCTTCTCCCTGTTGTTTCCTTTGCTGTGTAGAGGCTTTTACTTTGATGCAACTTCTTTTTTCTGTTTTTGGTTTTGTTTCCTGTGCTTTTGGGGTGACATCTAAAAGATTTTTGCCCAGACCAGTGTTGTGGTGCTTTCTGCCTGGGTTTTCTTCTGGAAGTTTTACACTTTCAGGCCTTATGTTTAAGTCTTTAGTCCACTGTGACTTGATTTCACTCTTCATGTCCATGTCTCGTTGTCCCAAAGCCTTTTTGTGACGAGGCTGGCCTTTCCTTGCCTGTGTGCTCTTGCTACTGTTGTTGAAGATAAATGCGTGGATTCATTTCTGGGCTGTCTGTTTTATGCCAGTACTGTACTGTTTTGATTACTGTCTCTTTGTAGTGTATTTTGAAATTGGGTAGTGTAGTAATTCTAGCTTTATTCTTTTGTTCAAAATTTCTTTGGCTACTTGAGGTTTTCTGTGGTCCAATGTGAATTTCAGAGTTTTTTTTTTTTAATTCTTTCTGTGAAAAATACCATTAGGATTTTGATAAGGGTGACATTCAGTCTGTAGATTGCTTTGGGTAACATAGACATTTTAACAGCATTAATTCTTACAGAATGTGGGCACAGGATATCTTTCCACTTTGAGGAGGTATTTAATTTCTTCCATCTGGGCTTTATAAAGTTTTCAGTATATAGATCTTCCACCTCCTTGCTTAAATTTATTTCTAAGTTTGTGCTTTTTGAGGCTGATGTAAATGAATTGCTTTTCTTAATTTCTTTATCAGATAGTTCCTTGTTAGTGTATAGAAATGCCACAGATTATCTTACAGTAGATTTTTTTTTATGGGTTTTAGTTTTTCTTTTCCACTCTGTTTAATTTTTTGGATCCGTTTCCTCTTGATCTGAACCCAGCTCCTAGAGCCTATGTCCCTGTGTTTCTTTTCTATCCATCTGTCCAAAGTGCTTTTGTCACCTTTTCTTTGCAAAAGCAACAACCAAGAGAGACCACTGGGTCTTTAGTGCTATGTGGACCATATAGTCATTCAGAGAAAATGCGTGACCAGTAATTTCTGCTCTTGATCCTGCTGTCTGCCCTGCATGTTTCCAAGACAAAGGGAAGGAGAGGGGTGGTACTTTCTTGGAGGACACCTGTGATGTTGGTGGGTGTGTGAGGTGAAAGAGGAGCGGGATCATGGTGGGTGGGGGAGGAGTGCATGCTGTGGATGGATCTCTTCTCCAAGGTGGGGGGCCTCCCCAGTTAGTGAGTTGGGAGGAAAAGGAGGAGGAGGACTGGCCTGAGTTTCAAATAAATAACATTTACAGTGATAAGACTGTGTCCTGGTAATCTTTCTGATTTTGTTTTTTTTTCTTTTTAATCAGAGACGGGTTTGAATTTTTTCAAAAGCCTTTTTACTAGTCAATGATATAGTTTTTCCTAGGAGACATGTTAATAGGTGTTTAATCAGTGGATTTCCTTCACCTTAACCCAACATTGTTTTCCTCTGTGAGAGGTGTAGTGGCTTCTTTCAGTATACTAGATTGTAATGAGACAGTGCCTGATTCAGCATTTGCTTTGTTTATACCCGAATGAAACCCATCTGTTCTTTTTTTCCCTTTTTACCTATCCTTTCTGTCATTTTGGATGGACTGATTGTAAAGGGCCTTCTCCCTGGATGAGGGAAGGCTTGCTGAGCTGTGGGGGAAAGAGCTGGACCCTAAGCGGGCCCAGAAGAAGTGTGGTTGCTGTAAGTGTGCTGGCATGGAGATTCAGAACTCAGTGTTCGGCCCAGCAGATGAGCCTTAACCTGCATTTAGCATTGGGATACCCTTAGCCTCAGACCCCCTGTTAAAGAAGGAAGTGATCCCCACTCCACCCTCCCCAAGTCATTCAAAGGCCTGTCAGTGACCAGCAACTAATCAGTGTTATCTTTACCTTGCTTTGAAGGTCTCAACATGTGCACTAGTGGAAGTGCCTCCTCCTGTGAAGAGTGTCTGATGATCCACCCAAAATGTGCCTGGTGCTCCAAAGAGGTATGTGGGTGGGGTGGGGAGGGGAAGAGGGTCCAGGGAGGGGTCATGGCTCTGCTCACATTCACTGTAGGAAAAAATGTGAGCAGATTCTGCAGCCTCTTCTGCTACCACCCAGGATTTGACAAATCCAAGTATTCCAGGTGATGAAATGGTAAGCCAGGTCTCTTGATAGTCTTGAACATTAGTCTCATTTTAGGGAAATAAGGCTTTCCTTCCCTTTTGTGTGGGAACTAGTTAGGACTCTCTGCTAGTTTTCTGATCTTTGGATAAGAATTCCAGATGACCCGAACTTGTGAAGTGAGTTTGTTGTATAACAATTCAAAGTGTGCATTGGGTAGGTACTGTCCCTGTAAAATAATGGCTCTGCTTTAAAAGGAGTAAGAAAATTTTATCGTGAGCCAAAATTTTATCATGAGCCATTCACATGACCATGGCCTCAGAACGCAGATTCAGGTTATGCTGAATGACATGTCCCACTGTGGAAGAGGTTACATGAACGTTTATAGTCACAGAACAAAGTCATAAATCAGTGCATTTACCAGTGACTGGGAGGAACTTCAGGTGGGCGGGCATAGCAAGGTAGGGAAATCTCTTCTACAGGTCTCAGATGTTGGCTTGTAGCAGTCTAAGCTTTAGGGTTGGTGGAGACTAGAGGTCTGCTAAAGTTAGTGATGCATTCTTTATTAGTCACGAGAATGTTAGGTCAGATACAAAAGTTATGGTAAATGGCTATTAAAGGGCCTAAAATAGCCCACGATAATTTTGGCTCATGACCTACAGCATTCCATCTCCACAATCATGGTGTTCTAGTCAGCCAAGGTTGAGGAGTCTGCAGGATCTTTTACACAGGTGTGGCTTTTTCAGAGAACTTCAGTTCACAGCAGCATGTTGGTATTGTTTGTCATCTTAGTGTGGCTCATTTGAGAATGAATACTAGCAATTGGCCTTTATTGGAAGGATTTTATTTAAAAGTAATGGGGATGGGGCCAGGGATTTAGCTCAGTGGTTTCGCCGCCTGCTCTGCAAGTGCAAGGACCCGAGTTCAATCCCCAGTACAAAAAAGTAATGGGGATGTAGCTCATATGCTTGCCTGGCATGTGCAAGGCCCCGGGTTTAATCCCCAGTATCACAGTCAATCAGCCAGTGCTTCGTTCAGTAGAACAGTGACCATTCCTGAAGGCACCGTTGGAAGGGCTGTAAGTTTGGGTGATATTAGGCATATTGCTGCCATAAGCAATGCAAATATCAGGGCTTGTTAGGCTAACCAGGAAATGGGCAGTTTCTAAGCTTCTCATCTTAAAGGAAATTTCTGAGTCACTTTTTTGAACTGTTGTTTGAACCACAGAGCATTAGCCGTCCCTGCGTGAGTTGCACCATTATGGTTATTTGTAAAAGAACCTAAGACTTGCTGCTTTGGACCAGCTCAGTGTGGTCTCTGACTGGAGGACCAGGGTTATTCCCTCCTCATGGAGGAAGCCTCAGAGGTCTGGTGATTTCCTTAACCTATAGTGCCTAACAGTGATCATGGGGACCCTGCTACATGCCACGCCTCATACATAGTGTCTGATCCTCACAGTGGTCTCACACGGGTGATGACACACCCTAGGGACTGAACCCAGGGCTGTTGCACTGACCTACATCCCAGCCCCTTTTAAATTTTTTATTTTGAGACAGGATGTTGCTCAAGTGCTAAGTTACACAGGCTAGGCTTGGGCTTGAGATCCTTCTGCCTTAACCCTCAGAGTGCTAGGGTCACAGGCATGCGCCACCGTGCCTGGCTAACACACCTGTTTTATTGGTGACAGTCTTAGCCTCAGAGACATAAAGTGCCTTGTTTAAGGCCATACAGGGTTTGAAACTGTCTGCTGGGCTTCTGAGCCAAGGCTTTCTCCTTTAAACTGTCACCATGTGGGCTCTCTAGCACCTTTCCCAGCAGGAAGATTACTAACCAGGTTACTCTGAGTGCAGGATCCGCAGTGGATAAGCCCTAACTTGCGTTTGTGCTGAGTCATAGTGTCTTTGTTAGGAACCTGCTTTGAAACCTTTTGATTCCCTGTGGCTTGCAGGCTGGATCCAAGTTCTGAAGCCCTTCCTTCCTGCTCATTTCTTCCTTTGCCTTCTCTCAGTACTTTCTTTCACCAGAGGGAACTGCTGGAGGATCCCAGGGTTCCAACGATGCCCTCGTGATCTCCCATGCTCTTCCTTCTCCTCCAGGGCCTTCCCAACATTATTTCCTTCCCTTCACTAGCAAGACATGTACTGTGTGAATGCTTACCTGGTTTCCTCTCAGATCCAACTGTCCATCTGTCCTTCCATTCATCTCTCCACTCATCTGTCCACCTGTCCGTCCATCCACTTATTTGATATGAGAATAGAAGCTGTTTGTACTGAACTATTATGGCAGGGGTTTTATCTCTTTCCTTCCTTATTATACTCAGTACCCAGAAGGTGTCTAGCACATAGTAATTGCTCAATAAATATTGGTTGAAGGATTTCCCTGCATAGCTGTTTATTGCATTTGGGCCACGACTCTGTCTCCTCATATTCTGTATTCCTTCTTTAGCATTTATAACCTCTTATGGGTGATTTGTTATCACCCCTATTCCTACCTAAAAATCATCATCATTTTGAGGAACTAAACTGTCTTATTTGGCTTGGCATACTCAGTATCTGTCTAAGACTCTGGCTGGACTTGATTTTTGATAAGAGGCCTGTTAAACAGACTGAATTAAAAAGCCAGAGTGTAACCCTAGCTTTGACATGATTGACTCTTCATTTCTCATACATGAAATGAGGATGGCACGTCTCACCCTCCAGCACTGCTGGGTGTGCAGAGAGAAGTGCACAGCAGGCACGGGGAGGAGACTGCTAAACTCCTCTGCCTCCTGCACAGCCAAGCGAGTTACCCAGGAAAGTGCTGCTGCCATCCACCGGCATTTCTGGTGGGATTTGGCCAATAGGGTCTGGAGGGGAGGACCCACTGTTAAGTTTCTTCCTCTCTTGTACTAGTTCTCCCTCAACTCTGACCTCCTGGTATTGTCGGTGAATGAGGTTATCCTGAGGAGCAGATCATTGTCCCACCCCTGTTCCCTGTACCCCACTGGGCTCCCACCCTGTTTAAGCAGAGCCACACTCTTGGCTGCAGATCTTCCTGTGACACTGCCTGGGGAGGCGGATGCCCTTCTTCCCTGAGGTGAGCTTCCTTCAGGGCATGATTGTGCCTCAGGGAGCTGGAGTTAGAGAGCCAGGAGTGGTTTGATCCCCCACTCCTTAGAATAAGTACAGCTGGTGCCTTTTTGACCACATCCTGGGAGGCATCCCCGAAGTAAGGGACCCACGGAGGGCAGGTGATGGGGAAGTCCACTGAGGGCTGCTCCTCTGCCAGCCAGCAGGGCCCAGGTCCCTAACAGGGTCTCTGCCTTCTGTCTGCGTAGATCCCAGAGCATGGTCCCCAGGGTTCACAGCCCAGCCAGCTCTCCAAGGCATATGTGTGGAAAATTGTGTGGATGCTCTCGTGGCAAGGACTGGGGTGGCCCCCATTCCTTCTGTCCCCATTTACCGTCTGAAACTCAGCCACATTGCTACACCTAACTGCAGTGAGAATGGGGAGATCTGCTCAGCTGGGTGGCAGGAATGATGAGAGCAAGTTGGGTGGACCAGCAGCCTATGCCGTAGACACGAAGGTCAGTGTTGCTGCGGGAGGCCACCTGAGGGTTTGGTGCCCCCAGAGAGCACAGAAGGCACAGTACCAGGCCACTGTGAAGCCCAGGAGGAGGAAGACTGGGTTAGGCCAAGCCACCTTCATGAAGTTGAGGTCCCGAGGTAGAACAGTGGGCCCTAAGGTGTTTGGATGCTCAGGAGTAGGCTGCAGAGGCCTCGGAGGGAGGTAGGGTCCGGGCCCTTGGAGTGGATGTAAATGAAGGGCTCAGGAGGACTAGAGGTGGGAGGGGAGGAGGGAGGCAGAGGAGAGGCTGGGAAGGCTGGTGCAAGGGATGTGGCAGTGACACTGTATTTTCCTTTGAGCTGGGGAGGAAATGAAAAAACCAGTGTTGAGTCCAGCTCACAATAAAATATTGATTCTTTAAGAGAACATCTCTTTGTGCTTGGACCAAATGAACAGAATAACCTTGGCCTGCTGCAGATGCCTCATAGACATTTGTTCGGTGAATTAAATGAGCCGACTGAAAGCTGGCAGGGGAACTTCGTCCCCAGGCAGGGAGTGTGCATGGCAGCATGTTGCTGGCACACGGTGTCCACTTGGGTTTGTCATCCGTTACCTTCCCTTCAGATCCACTCGGGCTCTGCCAGCAGGCACAGCCTTGACCAGTCTGGGGGCCTGGCCCGCCATGTGCAGTGAGGGAGGCAGCGTGCAGGCAGCCAGCTCCTGCCTGTGCTACTTCCTGTCTGGGCTCTCTGCCCACTTGTAGTTTGTCCTTACCCTGTACCTGGGAACCCATCCTGCCGGGCTCTTCTCCCAGTCCCTGGAGCTCTCCCTCTTCCACCCTGTTTTACAACACAGAAATTTGTCCTTCACCTAAAACAACTCCTCTTGCTGGAGTTTCAGCTTCAGCAGCAGTTGACAGGTATGTTCACAGGAGGACCTGAATGTGTGGGCCTTCAGGCCACACCACCAAGCTGCCCTGAGCACTCTGACTTTGGGGAAAGAGATTTTATTTTTCCGGTGGTACTGGGGATTGAACCCAGGACCTGGGCACTGAGCTATATCCCCAGCCCATTTTTTATTTTTTATTTTGAGACAGGATCTCCCTAAGTCTCTAAGTTACCCAGGCTATGCTCAAACTTGTGATCTTCCTGCCTCAGCCTCCCAGAGTGCCATAATTACAGACTTGTGACACCATGCCTGGCCAGAAAAAAGGTTTTAATTAACATGTACAGGGAGGTGGGTGTTACCATGGTTTAATAAATAGTAACTGCGTTGTGTCTACTTCCTGGGTGACAGAGGAGAGCCAGTACAGTGGCATACAACAAATTCAATAACC